CCCGCACCCTAGGAGCTACTGCCTGCGCCCCTCTCCCTCGCTTCGGGTCTTCTGGTTATCTCCTGAGGTTATAGATTATTTCCTCAAAAAGGCTGCCAGCTCTCATTTAAAGGAACGGGAAAGACAGGCCCCAGCAGAGACACTTGTGGATATCAAGGCTCCGGTGAGAAGAAGGATCCGGCAGGCAGAGAGTACCGGGGAGCATCTCTCACTGCGTACGCAGGGCCGGGGCGACGATGCAAACACGGGCACGCTGTGGCTGGGGGCGGAGCGGCGGGGAAAGGGGAAAGGGCTCCAGCTTCTGCTGTACCTGCCAGAGCTGCCAGTTGTTTGCCGAGCTAAAAATTATTTATATTTTCATTATAATCATGTTGCTTTTGTTTTTCAACTATTGGCTAGCAGCAAACACTACAGTTTAAGAATGGAGTTGTTGGAAACAGCCACAACAAAAAAATCTAACTGGACACCCTGGGCTGCATCCAAAGAAGCGTGGCCAGCAGGTCGAGGGAAGTGATTCTGCCCCTCTACTCAGCTCTCGTGAGACCCCACCTGGAATACTGTGTTCAGCTCTGGAGTCCCCAACACAAGAAGGACATGGAGCTACTGGAACGAGTCCAGAGGAGGGCCACAAAGATGATTCGAGGGCTGGAGCACCTCTGCTATGAAGACAGGCTGAGAGAGTTGGGCTGTTCAGCCTGGAGAAGAGAAGGCTCCGGGGTGATCTCATAGCAGCCTTCCAGTATTAAAGGGGGCCTACAGGAAAGCTGGAGAGGGACTTTTTACAAGGGCATGTAGTGATAGAACAAGGAGCAATGGCTTTAAACTGAAAGAGGGGAGATTTAGATTAGATATAAGGAAGAAATTCTTCACTCTGAGGGTCGCGAAACACTGGAACGGGTTGCCCAGAGAAGTTGTGGATGCCCCATCCCTGGAAGTGTTCAAGGCCAGGTTGGATGAGGCTTTGGGCAACCTAGTGTAGAGGAGGATGTCCCTGTCCATAGCAGGGGGGTTGGAACTAGATGATCTTTGAGGTCCCTTCCAACCCAAACCATTCTACGATTCTATTTTCATTATAGTCCCTGTAGAAGAGAAATTTCAACTCTTAAATATAAGCAACCAAATTAATACTCTATTATAAACGTTTTCTCATTGGAAATAATAGTGAGTTACAGAATTTGTGTAAGAGAGTACCATGTTCTGCACCATTAGCCAATTAAAAATTCCACTGCAGGCCCACTTCCCTCCCGCAGTATCAGCTGTTGCAGTAAGGAGGCATGAGGGATTCCACCAGTGAGAGTAATCTGGGCTTCAGACATTCGAGAAGGAAATTATAGAAAAGAGGGGGTCGCAAAGGGAAAGGCTCTCCAGTGGAGCTACTACTTGAGGAGAGCCTTTCACCCTGTTCCTCAGGGTGAGGAGGGGATTGCTCACGGTCCCACTGTGCTCCCACCAGGACCAGCAGGAGCCTGGATGGGGCAGCACTGGGTGTAACAACAGAGCATCATTTCTTTCCTACTAAATTAATGAACTGTTGTTGAAAAGTGCAGATAAAACAGAACAAAGAAATAGCCCAGCTGTGCCTACCAAACCACAGCCCTGCTGCCAATACCACGTCACCTCCCAATTTACATTGGACTTAAATAACCCAAAAGTTAGTTTTATTGGTTAGACACCAGCCAGATTGTTTCTTTAATTCCATAGATACCTTGTACAAATACCTAAAAAATTAGTTATGCGGCCAAACAAGCAGGCCTGTCCCATCTGTGTTATCAAGAGACAAGCTTCTTATCAGAAGCCACGTATAAACACAACAGCCAACTTTCACTTTCATAATTAACATTGGGCTACATTCTTCTCTCTGCACAGAATCTCATCACATATTACTTGCATCTCAGAAAACACAAAACATCATAAAAAAGAATGCAAGTTACATTAATCAAATTGTTTGAAATTTTAATTGAGCTCCATGTTTGTTTTGCAACAGTTTCTCCAAGGCTACAATGAAACACAAGAATCATCTTAAACGAGACTAAATAAAAGCACAAATCCCAGGCAATAATTCTGTAGGTGGAGAAGATTGAATAGAAAAGCCTTATTTTAACTAAGATCTACAAGATTACCAAGAGCATCAGGGAATGCCCTTGCAAAAACTCCTCCCTTCAGTTAAGGCTTTCAAAAGAAAGTTTTTCAAAAGTGTGGAACACCTCTAATCTCAAGGCAATAATTGAGAATTAGAAGTCCTTAGCATCCTTGAACGTAGAACTAGATGATTATTTTCTAAACAAATCTAACTTTACTGTAAAGAGCTATTAATCTTATTAAAAATGAGATTGATTCTTACCCCTAGGAGCTGGCACTGCAACTGCCAGTCACTCGGCTCTTCCTAATTTATTGGATGAAACAAATAATGCAACATTTCATGGTTGGTATTGTTTTATTGTCTCATATGATTAAATTATTTACACTCCTCCTTTTCAATGCACAGTTTAGCACTCATACCTATGGCTTTTACTTTTATGTTTAGCACATCTGTGTGTCAAGTATCAGAATTTAGTTTCAAAGAAACAGGAACCTGATACCATATAGACAAGTCTCCTCTCTATATATGTTTAAACATATTTATTTTCAAAAAATGACAATTTATAAAAGAAGAATCTGCTGGTAGCTTTCTTCCAGCTCATGTTTACCACAGATTCTGCTGAGCTTTTTGATTTTAAAGCATCCCTTTTAGAGTGTCCTGTTGCCTCCATGTGGAATCTGTTTCCTCCCTCAGTCCCCCACCTCTAAATTTAATGCAAAAAAAAGAAAAAAGTAGCTGACAATTTTAAGCAAAAATACAAAGCACTATAATATTACCTATATTGCCTTTTACTGAGCTATGTTCTTGAACACTCTAGGAACTTAGTTGAAATTTAACCAGTCAGCATTGAAAAGGCACAGGATTTTTGTGCTTGGGGACCTTCAGCAACAATGATTTTTCCCCAGCCTGAAAGTTAGGGACCGCTGTAGGGACACAGCAAACAGCGTGATACATAAATTCACAGGTACCCAATTGCGACTTACGACAGAAACCATCAGATTTCACTGATTCTTCTGCCACAGACACCCTGCACATCTGTAACAACAGTTTGGTTCTATGGCAAGAGGAAAAGAGGTGAAGTTACTCATGCCCAGAGATGGTGTAACAATGATAAAACTATTCATTATTAAAATCCCCACAAAGTTGTCCACGCCTGTGGTAGTTTCTTTTGCATGGTATTACAGGAATGGGAAAGTTATTTTTCACATATGACAGAAGTTGAGTTGTACACAAAGAAAGCTAACTTTGGTCCACTTGTCCAGCTTCCTAAGGACAGGATATTGGAAAGGTGACCACCAACAGTTCAAAAACCAATGTAAAAGTTAACAAAAATAATTTGGTATTTCATTCCTAAACCTGCACAGTGCTGTTATTTGTCCTAGTCATCCACCTTTTCACTCTGCATGTCCACTAACTGTTGAGTTTTTAAGTCTTCAACTTGTTCATGATCCTCCTTATCTGCATCATCTACTTGATTAGGTTCCTTTTCTTCTGCTTCTCCTTGATCAACAGTCTGATATTCTACTTGTTCCAGGTCTGCTCCGTCTATAAGTTCTGCCTGTACTTCTTCCATCTGTATTTGATTTACATGCTCAACATGTAACTGCTCCACATGAACTTCAGCACCTTGTTCAGTCTGAATGTGTTCAACTTCCAAGTAACTAATTTGCACCTGTTCTTGCAGTTCCTCTACCTGTGTGCCTTTCACTTGATTGTCCTGTATGAGATCCTGGTGCACCTGTTCCACAGTTACCTGTGCCGGATCCACTTGTACCTGAATTACTGGTAGGACATGGACTTGCTCCACTTGTTCTATTATAGTCATTGATGTTACTGGTTCAGCTTCCACGGCTTCCACTGGAAGAACCTCTTCTGTCACTATTCGTTCTGAAATATTGTGTGTTTCTTTGAGATGCCTTCTCAGCTCACTGCCTTGCATAAACCACAAGTCACATAAGGTACAGTGGTTGGGTTTGTCACCGGTGTGTATTACCAAGTGATCTTTGAATTGATCCCAGCTGTTAAACACACTGTTACAAACCTGAAACAAAAGATACAGTACGTTAAACAGTGCCAGCAGAAATATGTCAAAAAGGCAACCAAAAAACCCAGACAAAACCCCCCAAAAAACAAAAATCAGCACTCAGTTGTGAGGCACGCAGCTGCAGCAGTAGTAAGTTCTGCAGCTGAGTGCTAGATCAGGGGGTACAGGGGGGTTCCCAGAGCTGGGAAAACCCAAGGAAGAGCTGTGAGCCTCACCAGGAGCCTGCAGCTCTCACAAGAGAGAGGCTGATGCTGCTTAGGCATTGCCAGGAGCAACCACAGGAGATTTAAATGGCCCGTGGGAGCACATGCGACCAGGAGTGCTGTGAGCAGGGCATGCAAACAGGGATCTAGAGGGTGCAGTGGTCACAGAGAAGGGCTGTGCACCCTGCTGGTAGCCCCACCGCCCAGGGAAATGCTATAGGTCTCTGCCAGGATGGTGGGCACTCGCCTCAGAGTCAAAACCAGGGTTTCTACAGAGGAAGCACCTGAGATGTCTGACACTTCCACCCAGATGGAACTGGCAAGGAAGGAGACTTCAGTACAGACGGTAGGTTGCAAGAAGTGCCCAGACCCTTTTCCTGGAGAAAAGCTGTGTACAGGTTGATGACCAGTTGTGTCAGGTGGCAACTCGCAGGAAAAAGTTAAAACGCTGTGTAGAATTAGAGAGTTGAGATGGAGATAGGTAAGTGGTTTCAGAACCATGCTCCTGTGGTGGACACCAGAAAATGAGGTACCTTAGACCCTGGTGAGCCACAAAGGCAGGACTCTGCTTCAGTTTCCACTCTCCAGCATTACAACCAAAACCAGACAGGAAGCTTTAACAGCTGTAGACACCCACAAGCAAGATCTGCAAGGAGGAACTGTACCAGCAGCACGCAGTGATACTGCAAAAAGAAATGATGCTTGTAGTGGGTGGCTCTCTGTTACGGGCCACTAAGGTCCCCATCTGCTGGCCTGACAAGGAGTCACGAGGGGCATGCTGCTTTCCAGGAGCTAAGGTCTGAGATCTTGCCGAGATGGTGCTACAACTTGTCAAGAGCACAGAGTTTTATCTGTTGATACTGTTTCATGCAGGCATGAATGACACTGCAAGCCAGAACCTGGGCAGAATCAAGGAAGACTATAAAGCTCTGGGGGTGCAAGTGAAAAATGTTGTCGCCCAAGATATCTTGTCTTCCATTTTACCAGTTAGAGGAAAAAGTGCAGCCAGAAAAAGACATAGAATGCAAATCAACTTCTGGCTTTGTGGCTGGTCTGTTCTGAGAGTTTTGGCTTTTACGGCACGGGACGTTCTTCGATAACTGTAGCCTGTTAGGGAGGGATGGGAACCTGTCTAGAAGAGCCACGGGAATCTTCAGCAGCAGGCTGGCGAGCTCGGTGAGGCAGGCTTTAAACTGAAGGACTTGGGGGATGGAGTCCAAAGTGGAAATGCTCACACCATTGCATCCAACTGGGGAACAAGTCAGGTCAACCAGACCAGTGACAAATGTTCCTTAGCTGCCTGCCAAGAGGAGAATCAGAAGACCAACCACCTCATGCACACATGTATACCAATGCACACAGCCTGGGGAACAAACAGAAGGAACTGCAGTTCTGTGCCCAGTCAAAAGGTTATGATATCCTAGGAAAAACTCAAACATGGTGGGACAACTCACATGACTGGAGGACCATGATGGATGGCTATAGGCTGTTTCATAAAGACAGGCAGGGAAGAAGGAGGAGTAGGAGTCATGCTTTATGTTATGGAGAACTATGAATGTCTAGAAGTCAACTACGGCAATTGTGAAAGTCCTATCGAATGTCTCTGGGTTAAGATTAGAGAGGTTGTCTCCAAAGGGGATCTTACAATAGGCATCTGCTACCGACCTCCAAACCAAGATGATAAGGCCAACAAAGCAATTATTTGCATCACTTAAGCAAGCTTTGGGTCAACAGAACCTGGTGACTTCAACTACCCAGACGTTTGTTGGAAGAACAATATAGCAGCTCACACGTCATCTATCGAGTTCCTGGAACGCGTAGAGGACTGCTTCCTCATACAAATGTTAGATGTACCAACCAGGAATGAGACACCGCTGAACTTCCTGCTCACAAAACCAAGAAAACCTGCTTTGTAATATCTCGGTTAGTGATAGCCTTGGCAGCAGTGATCACAAGACTGTAGAGCTTGGGATCCTGCTGAGCAAGCTGAAGGTTAGTACTAAGACAAAGGTTTTAGATTTTAGAAGAGCAAACTTCACCTTGCTGAGAGGTCAGTTGAGAGGGATTCCATGGGAAGCTTCCATGCAGTATAAAGGAGCTAGGAAGTACTAGGAGTTATTCAAGAACACTCTCCTGGAAGCACAAAAACAGTTCATCCCCTTTAAAGGTAAGGGAAGTAGGTGAAGCAAGAGACCCCCTTGGCTTAACTGTAAGCTTCTGAGTCTGCTCAAAACCAAAAGAGAAGTGTATCAGAGATGGAAAAGCAGACAAAAACCCCTTGAGAACTACAAGGGCATTGCCAAGGCATGCAGAGACACAGTTAGAAAAGCAAAAACTCAGCTTGAATTGAAATTGGTCAGAGAAGTCAAAAACTACAAGAAAGGGTTCTTCAGGTACATAAGTAACATGCAGAAACAGGAGGAAACTGTTGGCTCGCTGTTAAACAGGAGAGGTGAATTAGTCACCAACAACACTGAAAAGGCAGAGGTTCTCATCACTTTCCTCACCTCTGCCTTTACAGCACTGTTGGGCCCCAGGCCTTGGGGATAAAAACCCAGGTCAATGCAAACACAGACCCACCGTCAGTGAAGGAGGAGCTGGGATGTGAACTATTAGAGGAGCTTGAGCCCTACAAATTGATGGGCCCTGACAATATCCACCCATGGGTGTTAAAAAAGAGCTGGCTGACATCATCGCAAGGCCACTCTTCACAGTCTTTGAGAAGTCATGGAGATCGGTCGATGTCCCAGAAGACTAGAAGGCGGCTAATGTCACCTCCAGCTACAGGATGGGCTTAAAGGAGGATCCAGGAAATTATAGGCCCATCAGTCTCTTTCTTCAGTTCCTGGGAAAGTTATGGAACAAACCCTCCTGGCAGATATCACAAGTCAAATGAAGCACGTGACTGGGAAAAGCCAGCATGGATTCACCAGGGGCAAATCGTGCTTGACAAACCTGATCGCCTTCTACGACAAAGTAACCTGCTCAGTTGATGCGGGGTGAGCGGTGGACATTGTCTACCTGCACTTCTTCCAAGTCTTTTCATACAGTTTCCTACAGCATCCTCCTAGGGAAACTGAGGCATTATGGTCTAGACAAGTGGTCTGTGTGGTGGGTGGGGAACTGGCTGAGAGGCCGCACCCTGAGGGTGGTGGCAAATAGCTCCTTTTCAAACTGGCAACCTGTCGTAAATGGGGTCCTCCAGGGATCAATACTGGGCCCAATGCTGTTTAACGTCTTCGTAAGTGATCAAGTATACTCTGGTGAAGTTTGCTGATGATACCAAACTGAGCAGGGAAGCGGACACTTTGGAAGGGAGAGCCATCCTGCAGGAAGACCTGATAGGCTGGAAGAGTGGGCTAACAAGAACCTCATGAAATTCAACAAGGATACGTGTAAGGTCTTGCACCTGGGAAAACATAATCCAGGAGCGCAGCACAGGCTGGGACCTACCTGGCTGGGAAGCAGCTCTGTGGAAAGGGACACGTGCCGCTGTGGCAAAGAAAGCCAACAGGATGCTGGGTTGCATCAACAAGGGCATCACCAGCAAAGATAAAGAAGTCATTATCCCACTCTACTCAGCGCTTGTCAGGCCACACACTGTGTTCAGTTTTGGTCCTCACTATACAAAAAAATGTGGACAGGCTGGAGAGGATCCAGAGAAGGGCCACAAAGATGATCAAAGGACTGGGAAGCCTGCTGTATTAAGAAAGGCTGACAGAACTTAGCGTTCAGCCAAAGAGTTTGTTCAGCCTTGAGAAAAGAAGGCTTAGGAAAGATCTTATCACCATGTTCCAGTATTTAAAGGGTGGCTGCAAAGAAGATGAAGACTCTCTTTTTACAAGGAGTCCTATGGAAATGATATGGGATAGTGCGTGCAAGTTACTCCTGGCGAGATTCCTGTTGGACACAGAGGAAAATTTTTCATGATGAGAACAATCAACCATTGGAATAATCTCCCCATGGAAGTGGTGGAATGTGCTGGACAAGCTGCGGGGCCATCTTATCTAGACTGTGCTTTTGCCAAGAAAGGTTGGACCAGATGATCCTTAAGGTCCCTTCCAACCCGGTATTCTGTGATTCTATGACAACGTACAGTGCCTATTTCACCTCACGACTTCACATGGCATAGCTTCTTGCTACTTGGATTAAAAAAACATATACATTAAAGGTAAAAGGCTGAGAAGTCAGCTTCAGAGGAATAGGAGATCTGGTATTTATTTCCTTCTTTTTAAAAAATGCGGTGTAACCTAGACTAGCAGTCAGTCACTGAAGGGAGCTGCTCTGGAGCCAGCCTGATCCACAACAGTGGCAGGTCTTGGCCCAC